AAAGTCAGGTAGACAGGGTCGCGAGAGGCTCAGACGTGCTGAGACAAATCTGGCGCTAACAATGTTTTTCCTTGGCTTTTTAACAGCAGTTGAGATTTTCATCTCTCTGATTTCAGGTGACGCTTCCTCCAGACCCCAACGTGACTGAAGTGCAGGCCCTCAGGTGTCCAGCCCCTGCCCCTTCACACACAGATCCAAGCTCTATCCACTAGACCGGCGGTTCTCAACCTTTTCAGACTCGAGACACCCCTCGGAAAATGCTAGCTCTCGGTTTTCACTCTTTCGTTGACCACAGAAAAGCAACAGAGCAGTTTTTCTGTTGCGAAGAACTCAGCAAGACCCCAAAAGTATGGATTGCTAATTTGAAACCTCTGAGTCTATCTTGCGAACCATGGTTGCAAACCGAACAGTGCAAACCGGGTGGCAATCCATGGCACCTCTGAAAGGATCTCAAGGCACCGCAAGGTTGAGAACCATTCAACTAGACTGACCCCCAGTGTTTGCCATCCCAGAACAGCATCTTCTGCAAAATGCCGCTATAACTGTTAGCCACAGCTACCGGTCACTCTGGCATGTGTGTACTCCAAGGGGCCCTTAGGCCGTTCATCCCTCTCCGGCACACTTCAGCTACACCCACAAATGCATCCGACTGCCCCACTCCCTGGACAACCTTAGGAAAACCTTCTTCACGGTGACCAGACTGTGGAATAAGCTCCCTCCAGAGGTGCTGCAGTCGCCTACCCTGGAGATCTTCAAGAGGAAACTGGACAGTCACCTTGCCAGGGTCACCTGACCCCAGTTATCTTTTCTGCCTAGTGCAGGGGGCTGGACCCAATGATCTTCTGAGGTCCCTTCCAGCCTCACAATCTATGAATGCCAACACACCGCTCACCCGATACATAATGTACACATGCATGCCTGACAAATGCACAGCTGACATGCACGCAAATCTTTCTTGAGGAGAGATCAAAGAGGCAGGATTTGCTTTCTTCCAGATCTCCTTGTCCAAGTCGCACCTAGCTGTATATTCATGCCACCTGCTACCCAGAAACCTCTGCGCCTCCCTCAGCAATTTCGATGGAGAAGCTGGCAAGGGAACTGCATAGCTGCACTCCCTGCGCAGGGAGACAGACACACCACTATGCTGCTGCTTGGCTCTGTGGGGCCCAGCTGGGCTGGCCTGGGACCGTGCCTTCATCTTGGCTCCGGCTTTCCACCACAACACCAGCACTCACAGCACCGAGGACACTTCAACTCCCAAAGTCCTCAGCAAATGTTAAGAACAACCAACCCTGAAAGAATCACCCCGGCCCAACCTCACCCTCAACAGAAGCGAGGCTATAGACTTTTAAAACAAAACCCTCACCCCCAAGCATGGTGGAGTCTTTTTGCTTTGGAAAGGCAAAAATGCCAGAGACCCCATGAAATCCACCAGGGATTAGCAATTACTCTCAGCTTCATATGGAAGATACCCCAATACCACGGTGATGGGCAGTGGTATATAAAACCCTAAGGTAACTAAGCTTTTACCTTTAGGGTTCAAGCTTGAAGCTGATTGAGGGCAAAGTTACTAAGAGCACTACATCACCTCTGAAGGCAAGGGAATACGTGCTGCCAAAACCACAGCAGGAACCATCACTCAGATCTACGATGGAGAAGCCATCAGGACAGGACCGGTGAGAGCTAGCAGAGCTGTCAGGGCTTGGGAGTGAAAGACCACGAGTTTCACTGCAGATCAGAGATGCTGGACAAAAGATACGAGTACACACAAAGCCCGTGCATGCAAACACACAGTGCAGTCTCCACGCATGCTCAGCCAAAGCATCTGCTAGAGCCATTTCCATTCCCAGTGCTGGGAATCAAATCTCCTGTTTAGCTCTCAGGGCAGCAGCTAAAGAGAAAATTCCTCTCTTGCTGCTTCTGCCAGCTTCCCCGGAGGGATGGCTCAGTGGAGGGGCTGGGCAGCACCTGGCTCCAGACAAGTCTCTGCTCTTAAACAGATTTACAGCTGCAAATACAAGGAGGTCAAGTTTGCTGCCCAAGTGCGTCTATCCTGGAGTGCAAAAAAATGCCAGGGCAGGGCCACACTGGCTGCCACAGGCACCTTGGATTCACTACCCCTTCCCAAGCCAGGACCTCTGGCCCAAAACAAGCACGATCCTGAAACCATGGCAGTTGGGTAGAAGGGTACTCAGGGGAGAAGTCTGGCATAATGTGCCCATAGAATTAGGGCAGAGGACTGGACATTTTGTGTGCGTGTTGGGGGAGTGGGGTCTAATAGTTAGAGCAGAGGAGTATGGGTAGCCAGGACTTCTGGGTGCTATAAAGGTCGACATTGCCACCCTCGAACTTTCATACAACTCTCAAAGTGCTCCACAGGCCATCGTCACAGCTCAGGGCACCTTATAAGGCAGGTGCTTAGCATCATCTTTTCTTTTCTTTTTTTTCCCCCATGTCTATAAGGGTGATTCAAGTCAAACTTTCCAAAATGCAGCTTCTACAGGCAAATCCCCGAGTCCTGGCCTCCCACTCTAACCACTACGCTTCACTTCTTTTCCAGCACTGGGAAGAGAAACCCGAAGCCGTGACTCGGTGCCATCATCGATGCCCCTTTTTTTGCCAGGAACATATTTCAAAATTAAACAACATAGGAAAATGTCACACACTTTCCCACATTGGTGCGGCTCTCTCCTCTTCCTGCCTCAACTTCATTTCATGCTGGAACGGCCCTATAATTAATGCTCTGAAGCTCTATATTCTCTCAGGCATTCTCTCAACACTTTCCTAATGCAGGTTATTTCCCTCCCGGAGTCGGAGGCATCCAGAGCGTTTAATGTCTGAGCAAGCGTCAGACTCGCATACCTGCTGACAGAAAGCTGCCATTAATTTGGCCGCCTTGCAGAGCCAACCTGAAATCTTTTATTCATAGACATTGGCTTATTGTATTACTTTTTGATAAAAAGCCACATTGAGAAGTTTCAAACACATTCATTTGCCATGAGACGAGGAGTGGAGATGGTTTTATTTATTCTTTCTGGCACTCGTCTCTGGAAGCCGACACCACCTCAATGGGGAACGGACACACCTCCTATATTAAACGAGTTCTTTATGGGCCTGATTTGCCTCTGCGGAGGGTGATGGGAGATTTTGCTGTATGAATAATAAGGTTCACAACGGAGCAAAATCCTGATCCCCCTTGACTTAGTTCGCAGGGAAAGCAATTGACTTCGCTGACAGAGACGACTCAGGCTTGGAGGTTTAAAGTGACCCAAGGGACAGATCCATCTGTGGTACTTCAACGGCCCCATCAGCAAAGTGTCTGAGCACCTCTCACTCTTTAACGTATTCATCCTCCCCGTACTCCTCTGAAGGCAGACACTGCTGAGGTTCGCATTTCCCTGATGGGGAACTGGGACATAGAGGGCTAAAGAGACTTCTTCCAGGGCACATTGCAGGGGGCTACTCTCCACCCCACCTATGCCCTAAGCACCGAGCTGTCTTTCTTCTCTGAGCATCCATCTCCCAATGGAGGCCAGAGCTCCACGAGGTCCCAGTCTGCCCACAACAACGCAGAAGGTAAGAGCCTTGGTATTGGCATAACAGCAAGCCAACGAGACCAAGGCCCCCTGTGCTGGGGATTAAACACACGTGTAAGGAATAGCTTCGCTGCAGTTAGAAGTGGGCCAGCAGCTCCTGCAGACCTACCCCAGTGGGCTTTAAAGCTGAGATCGGGAGCAGCCTGACTGCCACAAGACGAGGCAGTCTACAGCAAAAGCAGCCTTTGAAAGCTTGTTGAAGTTCAGCCCAACCGGGCAGTTGGTTCAATACAACATATCATCCACAAGAACCCTTGCTTCTCCTCCATTTCCTGGACTGTCGTGGCTGTAACGTCACCCCAGCGCCACCAAAGCTTTCACAGGGCTTTCTCCCCCTTCTTGGTCAAAATCAAATCCAATATCATCCATGTACCAGAGTGTTTCCACTAGTTCCCCCAGCTTGGTAAGAAACAAAAAGGTATTCATCACGTAGGAAGGAGTCAATATGGTAGATGGAGCAATCTGAGCAGCTGAAGCTGCACACCCAAGACATGACCTCCACAGGCAAAACACCTCTTTCTTTCTCTCCAAGTCTACATGCAAGTAGGAGAGCTCTTTTCCAGGCTCCAAAGCAGGAGGAGCATGAACGCAGTCCAAAGAACAAGGTATAGCGGGACGTGCAGTGCCCAGAGTCTACAGGCAGGAAGCCAGCTTCTCGTGGACGCTCACCTCAGCCACTCTCACCTCCTTTGCTAAGTCGCGGGCTTCTCCCAGGGAATAGGATTGCTACTTAATCCACCTGCAAGGTGCTGGCCATGAAACATGACAGCACGAGACCATCACTAGCACAACAGTGACAACTGTCTCACTTGCTATAGGTGCAAATCAACACAGCGCTACTCAAGTCCTGAAGCCGGACCCCCCATCCCACTGCATGCCAGATCTCCAGAGTCCCCGAAGTCTGTGGAGGTGCAAAGCAGGTCACACCGGTGCAGAATCTGATGCAATTATTTCCACATCTGAAGAAGAGCTGACTAGCCAAACACTTCACAGAGCCAGAGGGTCCAAATGGCCAGTGGCAGGACAAGGCCAGCAGCCAGCAAGCCCCAGGTCAGAGTACAAGAGAAGCCATTGACATGCACACAGGAGAGCAGCAGTAGGAGACTCTGGCAACCAAAGAGGGCCGCAAACTAAGCGTAGCATCACAGCATTTGGGCAGCTCAACCCCATCCTGCCTCCAAATGACATCAGGACACAATACTGGGATTTTACCAGGGCTCCCTCCCCAACTCCAGCACAGCATCCCCTCTGCCCACTCATCACCTGGGCTGGGAGGAACTGGGAACAGGGGAAGAGACTCCCCTTTACTTTGCCAGAAGGACCTGGGAGGGACCCAGGTTTGGTGAAAAGCTATGCAAGAAGCTGGCATTGATGGTGTGACAGCTGGGGCAGGGTAGTCCTTACCGGCAGAGATGGTCCGTCCGGCACATGTTCCGCAGGTCCAGGCAGTTAGGCTTCTCCTTGTCCTCGTAGGAGCAGGAGGGGACGATGGTTTGCCGGCGGCGCTCAGCACAGGCCTGGTCCTTGCAGGAGCAGAAGAGCAGGCGGTAGGTGTACTCACTGGGCACGCGGTCAAAGAACTGGCGCAGGGCCTTGTGGCACTTGCGGCGGTTGCAGCGCTCGGTGGCCGAGATCTCCTTGCTGCAGGTGGAGATGTAGCCAGAGCGCAGCCGCTTGCAGTTGTCGTTCAGGTTGCAGGCTTTGGCTGCATCGAGGCAGTGGTTACTTTTGGAGTTGGTGGCGGGATCCATTCCTGCCCAAGAGAGGGAGACAGGGTTACAATCACAGAAGATGAGGGCTAGAAGGGACGTCAGGAGGTCACATCTACTCTAACCCCCTGCTCCAAGCAGGGCCAACCCCAACTAGATCATCCCAACCAGGGTTTTGTCAAGCCGAGTCTTAAAAACCTCCAAGGATAGAGACTGCGCAACCTCTCTGTGCTTTGCCACCCTCCTAGGGAGAAAAATTTTCCTAATATCAAACCTCAACTTCCTTGATGCAACTGGAGCCCATTGCATCTTGTCCTGTCATCTGCCCCCACTGAGAACAGCCCAGCTCCATCCTTTTTGCAACCCCCCTGCAGGGAGCTGAAGGCTGCTATCAAATCCTCCCATTGTCTTCTCTTCTCCAAATTAAATAACCCCAGCTCCCTCAGCGTTTCCTCATAAGTCATGTTCCCCAGTCCCCTCACCATTTTTGTTGCCCTCTCTCCAATGTGTCCACATCCTTTCTGTAGTGAGGGGCCCAAAACTGGACACAAGACTCCAGATGTGACCTTACCAGTGCCAAATAGAGGGGAACAATTACTTCCCTCAACCTGCTGACACCACTCCTACTAATGCAGCCCAGTGTGCTGTCAACCTTGGTAACCTGGGCACATTGTTGGTTTATATTCAGCTTACTGTCCGCTGTAACCCCCAGGTCCCTTTTTTGCAGACCTGCTGCTTAGCCAGTCAATCCCCAGCCTGTACCAGTACATGGGATTGTTCTGTCTTAAGCGCAGGACTTTGCAATTGTCCTTATTGAACCTCATGAGATTTCTTTTGGTCCAACGACAAGTAGAGAACAAGTGTGGAAGAATCGGAATAGCACCACAGTCTTAGTCATGCTTAGGCCTCAGGCCTCTCTGCTTTGCCAAGGCATAATGACTTTGTGAGGTCCCTCCCAGCCCTTCTTTCCTATGATCCTAGGAATAGGGCATTGCCCAAACAAGAATCAAGCCCCAAGAACAGCAACCTGGGCCTGGGGTGTCTTGCATAGAGCACAAATTTCCAGGGGCACACAGAAGCCAGTGGTGCCCAGAGAAGGAAGTGGAAGGACTAGCCTCCAGGCTCACCAGCCCTTGTAGACCTCACTATCCATTCACCAGCATGAGGCCCGACTGCGTGCACAGAGCTTGGGCAAAGTGGAGCACCAGCCATCTGAGAGAAGGGTTGCCCGAGCATGGTAGCAAGCCACCGAGAGCTGGGGCTGCCTACCCCACCCCTGGAGTCCATGTGTTCAGGCAGAGGACACAGGGGAGTAGCTGCAGAGTTTGCAAACCAGAAGGCTGAGGGAAGGTTGAGGGCATGAGGAATTAGGGAAATGCAGTATCCGCTGAAGCACAGGATGCTGCACCTCTCCATCCACCTGCTGCAAACTTTGCCCTGAGAATGCAGAGCTGGATCAGCTTCTGCCTCGCAGGATTTTTCTATGAGGTGCAAGCACTCAGGATCCTTTCATGCCATACCCAAAGTTTGGCTCCTTTGCATCAGAGTCAGAAAACATGAGCACTATCCTCTCTCTCTCTCTCTCTCTCTCTCTCTCTCTCTCTCTCACACACACACACACACACACACACACACGAGTCTGGAGCCGATTCACCTCCCCAGCTCCTGCTTAGCAGGCCCCAAATCCACCACTCTACCTCTGGTTGATGTATCTACAATCAGGACTGGTCTGCACGGACCTAAAAATGCATGGTTCCCCGAAGGTCTGCCAAGATTAGGGGTCCTCATCTGGCGTGCAAGCAGTTAACCCAAACCAGACAAGAAATGGCAAAGGGATCAAGTAATATTCAGTGCCTGACTGAGGTCATGAATTTGCAATATATTTGTAGTCAATTATTCAATGAATATACATTAATTATTCACCAGGCTCTGGAGAAGAGCAGCCCACAACAGTGTACAAGGGCCAAGCCAGGGAACGCTTTTCCTTTGATTCTCCAAGGAGCCTGGTAACCTCTGCCCCTGTGTCTTCTCATCCTTTGGTCCCAAGGCAGCTCCCCCAGCACAGAGGCTTCTGCAGCGGGCCAAGCCAACATTGGCATTATCAGCACAGCAGCCCTGCAAATATGTATGCAACGTGCTTCCAAGAAGCACTTCCCATCTCCCTGCATGTCAAACTGTGCCAAGAACAGGGCCACGTGTGGCCTGGCAGTGACAGGGAGAAGGGGGTTAAGTAGAGACTGCTGATGGTGAAGAGGAAACTGTGGCCTGCCAAGTGCACAGCTGGATGCCCTGCATCTGCGCCTGCAATCCCAGCAATCAGCAAAACTGGGAGGGGGCGGGGGGAACACGCATCACGCAGAAGGAGCAAACGCCGAAATTTTTGTCAAAGTGATGAATTGCCCTTGGAGAGCCAGGTGCTATTTTAAAGTCACCTGACTACACCAGTAATTTCTTCCCTAATTGCCCCTCCCCAGTTAGCCAGCCAGGATCCGGGATTCTTCCATTGTTCTCCAGTTTCCCCCGGCAGAGAAATGGCAGCATCAAGGAGGGTTTCCTAACAGAAATATTTGCAGAGCCCCAGCAATTAGCAAATGGCAAGCAGCTGCCTAGGTCAGTGGTCTCCAAAGTGGGGTGCGCGAGACCATCCCAGGGGGTGCGCGAAGAAAATATTAGAACTTTTATTTTTATTTATTTTTTTCCTAAAAAAAAAAAAATAAGAAAGAAATTAAGCTTTACTAATATTTAATATACAGATTGACACTGGCGCCCTCACTCGGTCCGTATGTCGGAAGGTCACGTGTCACGTGCGGTAAGCGAGGTATCCTGAGGGAAGAAGCGTTTGTTCGCTTTCAGCGTATTGCAGTTTACATGTGCCCGGTTAAGTGCACTTACAGATTCTATTATCCAGTTTTAACTAAACTAACCCTCACAAAATGGACTTAAAAAGATTCCTGCAAAGAAACTGCAGATTGAAGATAACACTAATAATGCGAGCACAAGCAAACAACAAGAAAATGGCAGAGCTGCCACTTCTCCTACTCCTAGTACGAGCTCTTCGTCAGCCACATTACGAGGTAAAAACAATGACGATTTAATTTCTATTTTTTCTGTATGTTTTATAATGTACATAATATATTAGTACAGTAGTACATGTATATAATTTATAAATAAATCAATATACATATATTGGGGGTGCATGCTCAAAATTTTTTTTACTGATAGGGGTGCGCGATCAAAAAAGTTTGGAGACCACTGGCCTAGGTAAAAGCCTCCCTTTCTGGTTTCCAGCCCATCTTATTTTGTTCCACGGCTGCTGGCTGTCCCCACTACCAGCTCCCTACAGTCAGCCCTCTGTACCACAGCGCCTGCTCAGAGAAGCAGGGAACGGGACCGTCCACAGAGCCGTCTCTCTAACGATAAGCATTTCAGGCGTCATAGACAGAAGCCCAGCCTGTTCCCCAGCTTTCCAGTGTCTTTCCCTGTAGCAACCTTCGCTGGAAGAGGAGGTTGAAACCAGAGTGGCTGAGAGCTTCCCTAGTCCCCAGGCTGAACTCCTGGGATTGCCTTGGGTTGAGCGATGCTACATTTGGTACAACCGTCATCCTCACTCGCAGCCAGCACCGCTCCAAATGACGCACTGCATTTGAAAATGCAGCGTGTGAAAAATAGCTGTCAACCTCCACCCAAACACATGTGCATCCCATTACTGATCCCACACCATTCCCCTGACACGGCTTCTGGAAAGGCCTCTGAAGATATTGAGGCAATATTACATATTAAGGCAACATACATCCCTGGAAAACTACAGCTCAGGGCACAAGAGCAAACTCAAAGACCCACTCCCCCATCCCAAACAACATGCTTGTAATTTGGCAACTTCTTCATATGCCACAGTGATGGTATAGTGGGGTTAGGGTGTTGTACTTGCGATGGTCCAGGAAATATGCAAGAGGCAAGGGTTTCTGGGGGATAACTTTTATGGGACCAAATGTATTAGGAAAGATGCTAGACAAGTACCCTTTTTCAGGTCTTGCATAGTGATGGAAAACAGGCAGCCAGCCAGAAATGGAGGTCTCACTCCATCTCCTAGACCCTCCTTTTGAACGTGTCCAACAGACTAAGCCTTGCATCCAGGATCTGTTTTGTACTTGGGGCACTGGCCCAGCTGGGTACCAACCTCAGGATGCCATTTGGAAGAGCCGAGGCGCATCAGTCTCTCTCCTCAAAGCCCCATAAATGGTTAACGAGAGTGAAACGCGATGGCTTTCCAATGCGCCGGCATCAGTGTGAGAGCTATGCAAAGTGCCAGCTTATTGTATAATCCCTGCGAGCACCCACTCCTGCCCTACCCAAGACCTGCAGGGACCTGGATGCATTTTAATAGAGCTGATGCTTGAAAGAGCGCGGTTTCTGGGGAGCTCATTAATAAGGTACAAGCATTAACATTTCATGAGGTGGAAAGGAGCTGGGATCTGAGGAGGTGGGCCTTTTGGAGGGAGCCCTGGGGGAAAACAGTGCAAACAGTTCGTACCCTTCACCCTTCCTCACAGCATGCATGGGAGTCGTGCAGTACCAGCGAGCACTGAGCTCGGGTGGGGACCCCCCCAGCACCGGAGTAACAATCCTAGCAACAAGGGCAGGGAGAGCACGGGAGGCAGCTAACGGGAAGGAGCAAATGGAGGAGGAAAGGACGGAGACTCTCCAACAAGGACATCAAAGCTTTCTGACCACAGAAGGGGCTGGTACAACTAGCCTGCTGTGCAGCTCTCTCCCACACACAGCTCTGCCGATGCCTCTCGTTCTTCCCCTGCAGCACCCAGGGCTAGTCCGGTCCTAGCTCCCCACTTTGCTGCTGCCTGCAACGAGGCCCCTGCTTTCATTCCAGCCTTGGCCTCTCTGGAGCAGAGATGGCTAGCTACTTATGACAGTTCAAGCATTGGGTGTTACCGATTCAGATGACAAGGGGCCAGAGGAAGCCAGGACGTGCAGTGGAGATGCCAAGCAGCCTCAGACCCTGGAAGTCCCAGCCTCTCCGCAACGCCTC